CGACTTCCCCCAGACTTGCCCAATCAAAATCTGTAGTTTAGCAAGATCCCCACGTGAGGCATGTTTGTGTAGAAATTCGAGAAGCCTGGGGTAAGTGCTTTTTACTCTGGGGGATAATACACCTTGCTTTGAATCCTGGCTTTGACTCTTACTAGCTGTGTGACCTTGGCCAAGTTACAGAGCCTCACTGCACTGGAGTTCTTTTGCTGTAAAATGGGGACAATGCTATCACCTATTTTATGAGGTTGTTGTGAGAATCCGACAAGCTTATTTATGTCAAGGACTTGTATGGTAAAACCTCAACAGACTATAGCTCAGAATTGATAAAGGAAGGTAAAAGGAGAGAACATTTAAGAGGCAGTTTGTCTTAAGCCTCACATTTGTCATCACCAAAGAGTGCTTGTGTTTGTTGCAAGTCTAATTTCTTTGAATACTAAAATACACCTGGAGCTTCATAAGCTTCTGTAGAGGCCCTTGTCAGCAGCCCAGCTGGCAGAGTAGGGTGGTCTGGGGACAGGCAGCCTAGACTGCTAGGAATGTCCCACCACCTGGCCTGAGTTAAACCTGCTCTGTGCACTAAGACTCAGAATTTGAAAGAAATGCGGTAGGAATTTTCAAGACACACAGGAGGAGAAAGACTATGGTAAACAGCAAGAATGAAATTAGAAAAAGGAGACTAAGTGGGGTGAGCCCTTGAATGACCAGGTCAGCCCCACCTAACACTCAGCAGGGCTTCCCTGACCGGTCCTGGGTTCTCCTGGCGCAGGCAGGACAGTATGTCAAATGCTGCCCTCACCCCTGCTCCAGCGCCTGCCACGTCAGCCAGGACAGCTCACAAGAATTCGTTTTTGCAGACAAGAACCTGTTGCAAACCCGCAGGAGTATAAATGCTTCCAATGTGAGATAAAGCAGAACTTTCATCATAAGTACAGCATTTGGTAGGGTTCCATGAGGCAAGAGGGTAAAGGAAAGAAAAAAGGGAAGACTTCAAGCTGGAGAATAAAGTAACAATTTGGACTAAAATTTCTTAAAAGGGACCTGATCAAGCTGAAAAGCTTCTATGCAGCTAAGGATACAATAAACAAAGCAAATAGACAACTTTCGGAATGGGAGGAGATATTCGCATGTTACAAATCTGACAGAGGGCTAATTACCAGAATCTACAGAGAACTCAATCAGATAAGCAGGAAAAAAGCAAACAACCCAGTCAATCACTGGGCAAGAGAAATGAGAAGACCCTTTCCCAAGAAGACACGGAAGAATGGCCTCTCAAACCCATGAAAAAATGCTCATTGTCCCTAAGCATCAGAAATAAATCAAAACCACCCTGAGATATCACCTAACCTCAGTAAGAATAGCCCCCATCACAAAGTTCTAAAGCTGCAGATACCGCTGCGGGTTTGGAGAGAAGGGAACCGCTTTTACACCATTGGTGGGTTTGCAGACTAAATATGGCCTTTTTGGAAATATGTATGTGGAATCCTCAAAGAGCTGAAAGTAAATTTCCCATTTCATCCTGCAGTTCCATTACTAGGTATCTACCCAGAAGAAAGAAAAATCATTTTATCATAAGGACATTTACACTTGAGTGTTTATAAGCAGCTCAGTTCACAATTGCAAAGATGTGGGAACCACCCAAGGGCTCATTAACGCACAAATGGATTAGTAAACTGTGGTGTGCGTACGCCGTGGAATACTATTTAGCCATAAAAAGATGGAGACTTTGCATCTTTTCTATTTGCTTGGGTGGAGTTGAAGAACATTCTCCTTAGTGAAGTATCTTAAGAATGGAAAGACAAGCATCCCATGTGCTTAATACTAATTTGAAACTAGTAGATGGATGTCAGGCCACAGAAGAGGAAAAATACAATTAAATTCAAGAAAGGGTGTGGTGGGAAGGGGCCCAGTAAGCTCCCACCTGATGAGTACAGTGTAGGGTAAATGGCACAGCCCCTGGGTGAAGGACTCAAATACAACTCAGACTTGTACAGTGTGACCTAATAGTACGTACCCTCATACTGATCTGAAATAAGAAAAAATGCTTTTAAGTAGAAGGATTAACTATTGCACATTCAGTAATGAGTGATTCTGAGAGTATACACTTTTTTAAGGGGAAAGGGTGGATTTGTTTTCTGAGTGTTTTGCAGGAGAATATTTTTTCATCTTTCATTTTAACCAGAATGGATTTGCATTTTTTTCTTTAATAATGTTTATTGTCACAGATTTAGAAAACACAGGAAATAAATGAATAGCAGCACGTGGAAACCCAGCCCCTGTTTATCTCTTCTTCTATTCAACAGTTACCACACCCCTGCTGGGCAGCTGCAGCTGTGCTTAGAGATGATCAAAGCCCTTGTTGCCAAGGCAGCAGGGTTGCCTTGCTGGGGCTTACAGTTGTGTGGTTGAAATTTTGATGTATTTCTTTCCAGTACTTTTTCTGTGCCCTTAAAGAATATATGATAGTGGGTGGTGCCTGTGGCTCAAAGGAGTAGGGCTCAGGCCCCATATGCCGGTGGTGGTGGGTTCAAACCCAGCTCCGGCCAAACCCTGCAAAAAAAAAAAAAAGAATATATGATAGCAAACAATATGAGCTAATACTGATTGTGCTCTTACTAAGAGTTGGGTTCTATTCTGATTGGGCTCTATCCATGTGTTAATTTAGTCTGTAAATCCATTGTGAGGGAGGTTCCATTATTCACACTGGACAGATGAGAAAGTTGAAGTATAGAGAGATTAATTAACATGCCCAAAATCACAAAATCAATAAATGGCAAAGCCTTAATTAAAACCCAGGTAGCCTGACTCCAGAACCGGTCCTTATCATTGCGAAATAATACCGGTATTATCTTTCATATTTATAACATTGAGATGATGCTATATAGGCAATTTAGATTTTTGCTTTTTATTGGACATCACACATGAGCATCTTCCCATAACATGCACAAGCTCCCCCCCCAAGATGTAGAATTTTGCATTATTTGCAAACTTTGTTTGTTTAATTGGACTATAGTAAGACTTCATAAAGCTGTATAATTTAGAGCTCTCCATTTAAATACTTACAGGGATTATCAAACATGCTTATTATATATTTTTAAATCCAGCAATTTTAAGTTACTGGAGTTATGTGGACAGGTTACTTTAAGAAATGAAACATTTTGTAGCTCATATATGATCTCATAGATTTCATAGCAGAAAAATAAATCCAACTTTAGATGAAGGTAGTAAGTAGTCAGTGCTGGTGACTGTTCTGGAACTCGATCGTTGCATGGAATTCATGTTGATGCTATCAACTGGAAGAAATTACGTGTTGTATCACGAGTGATTGTGGGGTTTAAGTTGCCTGTGAGAATTTTTCATGGCGTGCGTTAAGACCATGATTTTATTTACAGAGGTTCACTGTAGACACATGTTCCCGAGAATATGTCACGTCCCATGAGGTCCAGCTGTGCCAGACTCTCTGCTGGTCTCGATGGCCAGTGTCACAGTGAACAGGGGGGATGCTCTCTGTACATGTCTGTAAGATGTTTGTGAGTTATGAAAATATACCAGCAACACAGTTTCTGTGGTTGAGAAAGGTATAGAGTCATGAAATATAAAGAGATTGGAACTAATAAAGAGAAATTTAAAAATCAATTACATAGGAAACATTTGAATGATAACAGTACCCAGTGGGAAGCAGATGGGCTTCTGAGTCAGGCAGACACAGGTGGGATTCCAGTGCTCCAACTAACTCCAGGGCAAGTTAGTTGGCCTTTCTGAAACCATCTGCCCTCTGGAGTTACCATCAGGATTAATGAATCTGTCTATATGAAATGCCCAGCACTTGGTGGGATCTGTTAATGGTCACTGTTTTCACTTACTATTTAATATGTTTTAATCTTCTTTCAGCACACCTGCCATCCATATAACAAGGATGCAAGTGGAAACCAGGCTGTGGGGGTGGGGGTGGGGCTGATCCTGGCTCTCATACTGCCTAGCTGTGTGACACTGGGCAAGTTACTTAAACTGCCTGTTCCTCAGTTTGCTCTTCTGTAAAACTGAATAATTATAATACCTATGTCTTAGGGTGGTTGCGAGTGCTAAGTTATTATATATAATCCTCTTAGAACAGTTTGGTACACAGTAGGTGCTCAGTAGGTGTGCTGTTATCTATAATACAGCTATTCAAAACTAAAGATAAAAATGTTACATGTTGGGCGGTGCCTGTAGCTCAGTGAGTAGGGTACCAGCCCCATATACTGAGGGTAGCAGATTCAAACCCTGCCCCAGCCAAACTGCAACAAAAAAAATAGCCAGGTGTTGTGGTGGGCACCTGTAGTCCCAGCTACTTGGGAGGCTGAGGCAAGAGAATTGCCTAAGCCCAAGAGCTGGAGGTTGCTGTGATCTGTGATACCATGGCACTCTACCAAGGACAATAAAGTGAAACTCTGTCTCTGAAAAAAAAAAGTTACACGTTAAAAAGTAGGTCTCTTTTCTTTCTGAGACAGAGTCTCACTCTGTGCCCTTGGACGAGTGCCATGGTGTCACAGCTCACAGCAACCTCAAACTCTTGGGCTCAAGTGATTCCTTGCCTCAGCCTCCCTGAGTAGCTGGGACTACAGGTGCTCCCCACAGTGCCCGGTTATTTTCCTTTAGAGATAGGGTCTTGCTCTTGTCAAGGCTGGGCTTGAACCTATGAGCTCTGGCAGTCTACCTGCCTCGGCCTCCCAGAGTGCTAGGATTACAGGAATGGGCCACTGCCCCCAGCCCCCAAAAGTAGGTCTCCTTAAACATTCCTCAGCTACTGCGGCTTTTGCTATTAGTCTATTTCAATGAATATTAAAGCATAGTTTTTATCACATCTCATGGTTCAGGAAAAATTTTTAAAAATATGAATTTTAAATTTGGTGATACCATCATGTTTTATCTGACTGAGCGGAATTTGCTAGTTTAGCACTGTGTTTGAATGTATTTTTTTTGTTGAAAAATGACCATTCTGGGAAATCTTTTTCTCTCTTCAGATTTCTCAGAGCTGGGAGAGCTTCCCCCAAGATCGCCTTTAGAACCAGTTTGTGAAGATGGCCCCTTTGGCCCTGTACCAGAGGAAAAGAAAAGGACATCCCGTGAGCTTCGAGAGCTGTGGCAGAAGGCTATTCTGCAGCAGATACTGCTGCTCAGAATGGAGAAGGAAAACCAGAAGCTGCAAGGTCGGTTTGCTGTTTTGATATTAAACGGCCTTGGTGATCTTACCTGGGCTCTGAAGAGAATCACATCAGCTGTAAGCATGCTGTCTTTAAAAAAAAAGAAAGCAAGACATTTAACGTATAATCTGTCCTAATCTGTGTATACATATTTTCTGCCTTTTTAAAGTAATGTTAACATTATTTACTTTATGGAGAATTAATGATGGTCTCACCAACTGTGTTAATTATTTCTATGTGATCATTATTAGCACAGTATCTAGAAATGCAGAGATATAAGCTTCAAATTTAAGCTCTAACCCTTTGAAAGGCATTTTTGGTTTTGTTTTCCTCGCTACTCTTTATCCTCAGCCATCGTCTGTGCCTGTAAGGTAGGTAGGGACTGATCCTGTGTAAGGATCATTACGCTTTGTAACATCATGCTGTGTGTCTTTCTGGTGAGTTGCAGGTAATCTGAAAAAAATTAGCTGAGTTCTACCTGTGCTGATGCCAACAGTATAAAAATATGATGCAAACTTCAGAACTTTAGATTTTGTTCACTTTCTGTTTTCATACTGACACTTGAACCAAAAAGATATAATTTTCAAGGTGTCTTAAGAAGCTGTTTCCGTTGTCATTTGGAAAGAGCATGGGTCTTAGGGTGTAGACAGCTGCCTGACAGGATACAAGTAGTGAGAATTTTGAGCAGGAAGCCTGAGCATACTCTTTGAAAGGGAAGCTGTAGCAGGTGGTTTAGTCACAGTTTTAGAATTAATTTCATTCACCATCATCCTTAATTGCAAGTTTTTGTCTTTTAATAATGACCTTGGTGTTTGTATAGAACTGAAAGTCATGTGAACAGCAGATCTGATGAATAATTTCCCCAGAGTGTGTTGCATCTCATGAAGTCCAATTACATAGAACTTCTGCTGTTCTTCCTAGCTAATGTCCCAGTGAGCGGTGGGTGTTCTCCGTGCATTTCTATGAGGTATTTCTGAGTTATGACAACGCTGTTTACCAGCAGCGTAGTTTCTACAGTTGAGAATGGTTCCGATTCATGAAATGTAAAGAGATATGATATAGAGTCTATATTTATATGTTATTTTCACCGAAACCAAGAAGTGAGATACAGACTAAGAAGACCTTTTGATAGGATAGGAAGTGGCCAGCAGCTGGACAGGAGGCTCTCCAGCAGGCAGTCTCGAAGCTGAGAGAGACAGGTCCCCCAATCAGGACTCCATAGAAGATGGTGGTTCAGTGAGGGGAGTTTAGAGTAGGTGAGTGCAAAGTTTTCTTCCAGCTCTATTTTTCTGTCACTCTCTTGTGTGTTCTTGAAGCTGACATTTTTATTGAAAAGAGAAAAGGCAGTTATGTTCATCATGTAGGTCATAAACCTTAATGGTTATGGTTAGCCAATCTTGCAAATGATAAAATCAGAGCATAGCTGTAATAGGAACGATGCTGGCTGGCATCTTGGGAGTGTAATTGTTGAGGCAAGATCAGTATTCCACAAAAGCAGAGTACGTACTATTGTGGAAACCATGGCTGGACAGACCAGAGTTTCCCAGGGTTACCTGGAACACCTCGCCAGGTGTTTTGTTAAGGTCCTTGAGGCATCTTTTTACTGCTTCCTCATATCATTTGGCTTCTTGGGGTAGCAGTCACTTCTTGAGGTCTTTATTTTAACTCTGACTTTTTTTCTTTAGTTCTATAATATTCAACATAATGTTTATCTTTGCAGTGAAAGCACAGTGGGCTTGCTTACTGTACCATGGGAAGCATTAGTACCTTGTATCAGTGTATATACTGATACACAGTAGTAGTACACTAATTTTTAGAAAAATAATGAGTAATCCGAGACTGATTGCTCAAAACTTCTTATAAGTGTTGTAGGGGTATGTTGAGGGTAGGGACAGAACTCTCTCATTCAATACAGAAGCAAGATTTGACACGAAGCAACCCGGGCATGTACAGCAAGTCCTCAATGTCATCAGTAGGTCCATCGAAACTGTGACTTGAAACAAATCATGTGTAATGAAACCCGTGAGCTAATTTATTTTAAAGACTTAAGTTCCTATGGCATGTTGCTAGTCACAAAAAATCACCACGTTTCTAAATTAGGATCCAAGATACTTCTAACATTAAACCTAGAAATATGATGTATACATATATTAAAGCAAGATTAATAAAACAAGTAAGATAATTATTTACCTGGTTATTCCATTTTGAGGTCTTAGGTGGTCAGAGCCGATCCCTGCCACTCTGGGTGCAGGACGCTGTCCATGGCAGGGTGACTCTCACCCATCCATACCCAGGCTGGGACCACGTAGACATGCTGATTAACCTCACGTGCACATCTTTGGGGTGTGGGGGAAACCAGAGTACCCAGAGAGAACCCACACAAACATGGGGGAACAGGCATACTCCAGAGCAGGGGCCCCTGCTAGGAATTTTTTCTCATCATTATAATAAAGCAGCATTGATAATGACTTTATTTGATGGCCTCTACTATGTACTTAGAGAAGAGATAGCCGTTCTATTATTTTTATGTTTTTATTTTTCTGCTTAAAGAGCTAGGAGTGGCTGTTGAAATTGATTTTGCTCTTAAAGCTGACTTGCACTCCTTGGAAAAGAAACTAGAGGCAAATGCATGAGGAGGTTCTTTCTATGGTCAGGCCTGTTTCCTGGCTTTTGAATATATGGATCAAATGTGTGTTACCGCTGTGGAAGCCCTGCATCCTGGTAACAGCCAAATTGCCGTCTAAATCTGCGTCACTCCACTGGAGACTGAAGCTGACTTTGTGATTTTTTCCAAAATTAAACAGCTAATTTTCAGTGATTTGGAGGCCAAAATGCATCACCTCTTTTCCAAGTGAGCAGTCTCTGCAAGGCTGTTTCCCCACTCTTGTTAAGTGAAGACGAGAGCAGCCTGGGCAGGATGGCCAGATGTGGGGCAGGACCCATGCTGTGGTGTGTTCAGTCAGCTCGGGGCCATGTGTCCAGCTCATTCACATCACTCAGCATTTTGCACTCAACTTAAAAATACAATGATGTGGCTCGGTGCCAGTAGCGCAAGTCGCTAAGGTGCCAGCCACATACACCAGAGTTGGTGGATTCAAATCCAGCCCGGGCCTGCCAAACAACAATGACAACTACAACCAAATAATACCCGGGCATTATGGCAGGCGCCTGTAGTCCCAGCTACCTGGGAGGCTGAGGCAAGAGAATCGCTTAAGCCCAGGAGTTGGAGGTTGCTGTGAGCTGTGATGGCACAGCACTCTACCAGGGCAACATAGTGATACTCTGTCTCAAAAAAAATAAAAATACAGTGATGTGTTAGCATTGTGTTCTGAATTGTAGTTGAAGGTTTTTGATCAAAAAAATTTTCCCTAGTTCAATAATATATTTATTGCTAAACAAATAAATAGGTAATAAATATTGAGCTTAGTTTTTCTGAAATCTCCGTGAGTATGTGTAGTGGGTCATTCAGTTGTGGAGCCTCCCTGCCACTCAGCTTTCCATTTCTAAACTTTCATAAGAGGTGGCAATGGCAAGAGAGTTTTGTCTCTGAAAGCAGAACTGGGGACACAGTGGTCACAGCCCATGCTACACAGCGGGCATAAATCAGACCTATAGATTAGTTGCAAGGTCCAAGTTAGCTCAAATATCCATGTGAAATGGTAATATTTTAGCCAACTTTTGGGCAAAATTACCTTTGAGCTCATTTAGTCCTGTTTCCCCCTGAGGCCACAAGTTGCCCTCCAGATTCCCAGAGTGTGGCCCCTGGACTTAATCCAAACTTCACAGAACAAATCTCTTTATTAAAGAGATAAAATGATTGGTCCTATAAAATTTAGATTCAGTCAAAATTCACACTCAAGGATCCAGAACGCCACATATGGTCCCAGGAGTGCAGGTTACCCATCATTGGTTAAGTTGGAGTCTGGATGTTTGTCACAGGGTTGCACTATCCACCTTGCTTGATGAGGCATTTTGGAGGCCACTAATTTTAGGCAGCAGTATTGGAGGACATTGATTTTAGCAGCAGTGTTGGAGGACACTGACTTTAGGCGGCGGTGTTGGAGGATACTGATTTTAGGCGGCTGTGTTGGAGGTCACTGGCTTGAGGCGGTGGTGTTGGAGGTCACTGATTTTGGGCTGCGGTGTCCAAGGACACTGATTTTAGGTGGCAGTGTTGGAGGACGCTGACTTGAGGCGGCGGTGTTGGGACACTGGTTGTAGGCTGTGGTGTTGGAGGACACTGACTTTAGGCGGCTGTGTTGGAGGACAGTGATTTCAGGCGGCTGTGTTGGAGGACATTAATTTTAGGCTTTGGTGTTGGAGGACACTGACTTGAGGCGGTGGTGTTGGAGGACACTGATTTTAGGTGGTGGTGTCAGAGGACACTGACTTTAGGCGGTGGTGTTGGAGGACACTGATTTTAGGCTGCGGTGTCCGAGGACACTGACTTTAGGTGGCGGTGTTGGAGGACACTTTGACTTTAGGTGGCAGTGTTGGAGGACACTGATTTTAGGTGGCAGTGTTGGAGGACACTGACTTTAGGCGGCTTTGTTTCCACACTGATTTTAGGCAGTGGTGTTGGAGGTCACTGATTTAAGGTGGCGGTGTTTGAGGCCACCGAAGCAGCAGGGTGTTGCTTGGGCCAATAGCAAAATACATGATCAAGCCTTTTTCGCTGAATCTCCTGGCCTGTTCTTTGTGGCTGTGTGAAGTCCCGTTGACGTCAGAGCGAGCGTCAGAGCTGGCTGGGCTCTGTCCGGCTATGCTTGGGCAGCCACAGCCTCGCATGGGACTCACTGTCAGAGAAACACGTCCACTGAGAGCCTGCTGCTGTCCTAGTCACCCTTCAGCATGGCTGGTCCCAAAGCCACTTGCCACGGGTGAGCTCAGCTCTAGGGACATTTATTTTGTTTTCTCACAGCCAAAAAGAAAAAACAATCTAGGGTTTACATTTTTTAAAAATGTGAACTCCAGAGATGTAGGGAATTATTTAACTGGACCTTGAAAATATATTCTTTAAAATGAAAGAGAAAAGAATGAAAATGATAGATGAACCAAGGATGGCAGCACCAGACCTAGAATCACTCACCTACCTCCTAGGTAGTAAATATCCATGGGCAAAACACTTAAATTCTCTGAATTTGTCTGTGTCTGTGAAATGGGAGGTTAGGCCAGAGAGTCAATTTAAATTGCCAAGTTAAAGTTTTCCTTGATTGATCTGCCTCCCCCTACTTGGGTAATTTAGGTATGATTCTTAACCTTTAGGCTGAATAAGTAGGGTGGGAACCAACACCTGTGTTCATACATTTGAGAAGATGTTGGATGAAAAGGATAGATTTATTCTCTTTAGCTCCAGGAAGCAGAAGTGGGACAAATGGCAGAAACTACCAAAAGGGGGTTTGGCTCTAAGTAAGAGGAAACTATCCTTAGAGTGCCTCTCCCGGTTTAGACAAAAACTTTTACTGAACTCCACCCATGCCAGGTATTGTGAATTTTGACACAGAGCCCCTGCCCCTGAGAGTTTGTGGTGTAAAGGTAGCCATGACAGTGGGAAGAATTGGACAGATGTGGGGTATGTCTTAGCATCTGGGCCAGCAGGACACATTGAGAGTGAAGGGGAAAGAGGAACCACATACCGCCTATGTCAGGGGTCCTCAAACTTTTTAAACAGGGGGCTAGTTTACTGTTCCTCAGACTGTTGGAGGGCCAGACTACAGACCCCGGGATGAGTTGGCTGCTAAGCAGGACAGGCTGCAGTGGCAAAAACACCTGGTGGGCCAGATAAATGCCCTCAGTGGGCCGCAGTTTGAGGACACCTGGCCTATGTTTTTAGCGTCATGGAAGACAAGGGAAATGGGTGGGTGGGGCAGGATCTGTGGCTCTTATTTGGATCCGTTAAGCAGGCTGTATCTGCTTTACACCTCAGCACCAGGTACTGGGAGGCAGCTGTGTGTCGTAGCCATCGTGTTTATTAACGTGTTTTTATTTATTTTTATTTTTATTTTTTTTGAGACAGAGCCTCAAGCTGTCCCCCTGGGTAGAGTGCCGTGGCATTACAGCTCACAGCAACCTCCAACTCCTGGGCTCAAGCGAGTCTCCTGCCTCCGCCTCCCAAGTAGCTGGGACCACAGGCGCCCGCCACAACGCCCGGCTATTTTTTTTTTTTTTTTTGGTTGCAGCCGCCATTGTTGTTTGGCGGGTCTGGGCTGGGGGTTCAAACCCACCCACCTTAGGTGTACGTGGCTGGCGCCTTAGCCGGTTGAGCTATAGGCGCCGAGCCTATTAACGTGTTTTTAAATGATCTGTTCTAGCCTCCGAAAATGATTTGCTGAATAAGCGCCTGAAGCTTGATTATGAAGAAATCACTCCTTGTCTTAAAGAAGTAACTGCTGTATGGGAAAAGATGCTGAGCACTCCCGGGAGATCCAAAATTAAGTTTGACATGGAAAAAATGCACTCGGCTGTCGGGCAAGGTAAGCGTTACTGGGAGTCATCTAGCCAACCTCACCCCTCATGGATACCTGGAAAGAAGTGTGGAATAAAGATGTTTAGAGTCTAATTTTAATGGTTATCCCTCTTCTTTATCACATCTTTACTTAATCTGTTCCCAGATGTCTTAGTTAATTGACACAAGCTGCATCACCTTCCATGATTCTCCTTATTGAAAATTGTAAGAAGACAGGAGACAAAAGAAGACAGACAAACAGACAAACACAGGAGCTTAGGTGCCTACAAACTAGATAAAAATGTGATTAAATAGTAAACTAGAAACTAACTGTGTGGCTGCTCTCTGGATGCTCTGGGGAGACAGCAGGGCGCAGAGCACAGGCTCACGGTCCTGGGTTTAGACCCAGCCCTGCCATTCACTCTGCTATGTGGTCTTAGACAAATGACTTAGCCCTTCTGAGCCTGTTTCCACATAATGTGAGGTGTGGGTTATGACGGTGGTGGCTGTGAGGAGCACATGGGGCGTTTCTGCTATACTGTGAGTCCTTGGACAGTAGGCACTGTAGTCCTCATTTCAGTGTGGGCTGCCGGTCTGAACTGGTTCAAGAAGAGGTAAATACAGAACTTGATAGACTAAGCATTTGGAAATGTTTCCAGCGATTTGACAGAGCAATCCTAATATAAAAATGTGGGCTTTTATTTTGTCAATCTGTTTTTCTTATTTTTCTAATTCATCTTTACTGCATTTTGTTAAAATATCAGCCTGCAATGGATTGTAATAGTTTGAGAAGCACCGTTTAGAACTTAACTTCAGTGATGACTATGTGATGATTTTTTTCTAAAATGTGTGTTAGTATCTGTTGGCAAGAGGAATCCTGAGTCTAATCTAATTTTTTGGTGCTGAGTTCTAATTGATCTGGTTATGACTTAACCAGGTGTTGAGAGTAAGGGTTGCAAATAGGTGTAAATCCAGTGATTTTCTTCTAACTCTACCTTCTGTTCAGTGGAAGAACATGACATTTACGTTGCTTATCTCTAACAGAGTGAGTGGAGCAAATCAGTTTTTTCTACTGTTTTAAGCTTTCCCCATGTTTCAGTAGCATTAACTTTAGCAACAGTAGGTACTTATTGCTAGCTATGCCTGTCTCCTTTCTGAGGATAAGGAAACTGGCCTTGGAGCAGTTGGGTGGTGGGCTCAGGGCCACAGAGCCAGGCCTCTCACCACTTGTTGAACAGTAACTCAACAGTGCTCAATCTGAAGAGGAAGCCAGGGTGAAGACCTAGGTTCTAAATCACAACGGCTTCCAGTGTGACCTTGGACAGTGCTCTTGCCTCCTTGCTGGTAGAATGAGAGGTTTGGGGCAGGGAGCCGCCCTCCAGTCCCAACATCCCTCGCACCTGGAGTGGTTGCTGGAGGTTTGCCTTTATGCCAAATGGCCCCAGATTGCTGTTTTGAAAAAGGAGAAAACAGAAAACAGAAAAAAGAATACATGTATTCTTTCCCTTTTCACGGTTAGTAGATGATGGTCTTCAGGTGGCTGCTGCAAAAAGTTGATCGCTGGGGTCTGTGACAGCTACTCCAAATATTTGGGCATCTTAGAAGCCTGACACCTGGATGTTTGATTTTCATTGTGCATTTTTATGAGGAGGCTGGTAGAAATACTCCAGGAATCTGGACACCAGGTAGTGAAATCAGGCACAGATGATGGAACAGTTTATGTATTGGGGTGAGCCAAGGCTGACCTGCAGTCTCTTCATGCGTCCTTGACTTTGCCATCTTACTTTTTACTGCAGAAACTGCTCTCTCTCTCACCATAAAAGGGCTTTGTCACTCAGCTGGTTATAACACATTAATATTTAGCAACTTAAAAAGTGACTGCTATAAATTTTGTGGCTCAGGACAAAAAATGAGATTAACTCAGAACCATTACCTTTGGCCTTTCAAATAGAGGCCAAGTCAGCCCAGAAACCTTGAAAAAGAGGACAGTCCTTGTGTGGGTAATGAGTCCTTTTCTCTTAGTGATCCAAGGACCCCTCGGTGACAGCAATAAAGGGATTTATAAAACTTCCCAAGTTAAAATTAGATGAGAGTGCCAGGATTAAGGTTTCAACTTGGGCGAAAGAGAAATTCTCTGACATTTTAGATAATTCAAAACTGAGTTTGGGTCAACATGATTTCTCTAAAGATATTGAGATGGAACTTTATCAGCTGGGATGTATTTTTCTGGGAATAGGATTGCAAAGTGGAGCACTTGGCAATATGGGCCAGATGCAAACTCTGCTTACCTTGGCCTCAGTGCCATTTATAGAAACTTATTCCAGAAATTAACAAGCCAAAAGTGTACTACAATAAGAAGCATGCTTACTGTGGCATTGTTTAATAGCCTAAATAAGACAAAACCCAACCATGTGACCACCCCATATAATAATATCCTTTGAAAATGACTCAGTAATTAGATTTGCATTTACTGATGTAAAAGGTGTCTGAGGTTAAGTGGGAAAAGAGTACAGTACAGTGTAGTCTCATGTACAGTTGATATCTTGTGGGCTTATACACAGAGAAGCGTCTGGGGCATAGGCAGTATGAACATACAGCTGGTTCATCTGGCATAGCCCTGGTGTACAGCACTTGTCCTGGTAAAATAATTAATAACCTTCTTCCTCTTCACTTTCACACGTTTCCTGCTTTGAATGGTAATTATATGTTTGTTCTAGTTATAGGTGATTTTTTCACTTCCTACTTTATACCTTTTGCATTTTTTAAGGTTTTTTCCCCCCTTTTAAACATTGAGCATATATTATTTTTTAAGTGAGTAAAAATAAAAAGCTGCTTGCATGGTGGATAAAACGTGGCCTCCTGCCTACCCAGAACCTGCCTGTAAGCCCTGGGTAGGCCCCACTGCCAACTTTCTGTCTTGGGTTGGGAGTGAGGCAATGCTAAGCATGGAGAAGGCTGTTTGCTGGGTCGTTCTTAGCAAAAATGTTGGGTCTGAGCTGTATAACCCTGTGCTTTAAGTCATAGGATCTAAGGGTTACTCCTGATTACCAAAATATCTGGTACTGTTCGTTGACACAGCTAATAATCTTTTCCTCCAAAAAAATAAAGTTCTGATTAGATAATGCAGATGATTTAGTAATAAGAGAAAATTGGACATCTCATAACTTGGGAAAATTTTCCAGTTTGAAAAAAATACTTTGTGAAAAAGTCCTGCTATAAATCACTTATCAAGTTGTTTTCCAGCCCACATTTACAACTTTGCAGGTTTTAAAGTATTGGGGGGTGTGTGTGTGAGAGAGAGAGAGAGAGAGAGAATGTATCTACCCAAGATACATCTCTGAACAGAAATAGGAGAGAAAGAAAAAATAATAATATTAAAAAAAGCTATCAGGGTATATTAGTGTTCTATTGCTACCATAACAAATTACTGGAAAACTAGTGGCTGAAACAAATGCTTTTTTTCAATTTTTCTTTGTTTTTTGAGATAGGGTCTTGGTCTGCCGCTGTGCTAGAATTCAGTGTCATCATCAGAGTCCAACTCCTGGGCTTAAGTGATCCTCCTGCCTCAGGCTCCCAAGTAGCTGGGATTACTAGCATGTACCAACCTGCCTGGCTAATTTTTCTGTTTTGTAGAGACCAGGTCTTACTCTTGGATCAGGCTGGTCTGGAACTCCTGTCCTCAAGTAGTCCATCCAGCTCAGCTCTCAAACTGTGGGGATTATAGGTGTGAACTACCACCCTGGCCAGAAAAAGCAGAATTTTTTCTCTCACCATTCCGGAAGCCAGAATTCCAAAACAAAGGTGTTGGCAGGGCTGCACTTGGCCTCCCCAGCTTCTGAAGGCCAGTGGCTTCCTTGGCTTTTGGCTGTGTCACTCCAATCTCTGCCTCTGGTCACACTGACTCTCTTCTTGTCTTCTCTGCATGACTTGTTTATAAGGTTACTTGTTACTGGATGTAGGGTCCACCTGGATAATCTAGATCAGTGGTTCTCAACCTTCCTAATGCCAAGACTCTTTAATACAGTTCCTGTGGGTTCTGGCCCATAGTTTGAGAACTGCTGATCTAGACGGTCTCATCTCAAGATTTTTTCCTTTTCTTTTTAGAGACAGAGTCTCACTTTGTCGCCCTCAGTAAAGTGCTGTGGCATCACAGATCACAGCAACCTCCAGTTCTTGGGCTTAGGCGACTCTCTTGCCTTAGCCTCCCAAGTAGCTGGAACTACAGGCACCTGCCACAATGTCCGGCTATTTTTTCTATAAGGGAAAAAGCAACGTACCTAATATGACCTAAGTATTTCTAAGAAGTGGCTGTGTGACTTTTTAAATAGTTCCTTATTCTTTTAATAAACGAAATTGATTACTGTTTGTTTCAAATCCACAAGTCGTCATTTTATCATTAGTTCCCCACTAGGAACATAAAATATTTTATCTCCAATCCCCATCTCAGTCGCAGGCTTGTCTGACAGTTGGGATAGGAAGGACTTTGAGGGAAAACAGTGGTTAATGCCCTTGGGCTGCCACTCACCAGCCAGCTGACCCTGGGCGAGGCACCTGTCCTCGGGGGGCCTCTTTCCTCAGGTTTACCTTGAGGATGATCATGATACTTCCCTTGGGAGGTTCTGATGACAGGACGGGCCAACACACACAAGTGCTTAGAATGCTGGCGGAGCACAGTGGCCCCGTGATAAGTGGTGTCTGCTGCTGCAGCTTCTCTCTTGCCGGAACAGAAACTTCTCTCGAAGACGAAGACTGACAAAACCATCTTCCCAAGTGGGCTCTCAGTGGCAGGGAAGTGTACAAAGTTGTCAGAATTTTTTCTGGATGGTAAGAAAGATTAATCCCCAGTTCAGAGGTTCCTTTTATCCCAAGAAATGAGAAAGATTGGGTGTCTCATTCTGCGTTCCTCTTTCTCACCCCTTTCCACATTGGGCCTTATAACAGCTAAACAAGGAACCAAAGCATTTTAATTCCAAAGTATCGTTTTGTCTCATGAGTTTTGTCCTAAATAACATCATGGTTCTAAGAGAATTTCTCTTAACTTTCGGACATTTCTAATCATGTTTAGTATTCTAATTAGTTATATTTAAAATATTAGGTAGAGGACCTGGATCATTTTCTGATCTTTAGACCTATCTAGTCTTTAAACCACTGTTCCTATGCTGTTATTTCTAACAACCTCTGGGGGCTCAGCCCCTGTAGCTCAATGGCTAGGGCGCCAGCCACATACACTGGAGCTGGCGGGTTCAAATTCAGCCCAGGTCTGCCGAGCAACAATGACAACTACAACCAAAAAATAGCCGGGTGTTCTGGCAGGTGCCTGTAGTCCCAGCTATTTGGGAGGCTGAGGCAAGAGAATCACTTAAGCCCAAGAGTTTGAGGTTGCTGTGAGCTGTGATGCCACTGAAGGTGACAAAGTGAAACTCTGCCTCAAAACCCCCCCCCCTAGGCCCTTCCAGGTCACTTTGCAGAAAGATGTCCAGTCAAAACTCCAGGTCACCTTGCAGAAAGATGTCCAGTCAAAATTCTACCATCCAGCTGCTTTTAGGCTGCTCCTTCCCTGGCTCTGCAGCATTCAGTGGTTCCTTACAGCCAGCAAGCAAAGGGCAGTTTTCTTGCCCTTGACTTTGCCTCAGACAAAACCCTTCCAGCCTTGTTGGCAACTGCTCCCTCACCCCCTCACTAGCCCACGGTGAACTGGAACACTCCAGGTTCCCACTCTCTGGCTGGTCTTCTCTCTTCTTTTCTCTCCTCCTTAAGGCGTGGCTCAAATGAAGGCTTCTATGAAACCTCGATTGCTTGTTAAAAATGAGCCTGCTCTCCTTGAGCCGAGCGCTACCCCACTTTGATTCTGCCTTTTTTGTGAGATCACATTGTGCATTAGAGTTCTTTATGCCTAGTCTTACATCCCTAGAATCTTATTAATTGGCACAAGGTAGGGGGCTTGTGGCTTATTCATCAGTCCACTGCTTGCAGAGTCTAACACAGTCAGAACATAATGTATGTGCAAAAGGTGAGGGGGCTAGGGCAGTGAGAGGAGTGAGGGTGGAAGGAGGCAAATGGGATGGTGTTTTGGCTGCTTCTCCACCATTCCTGTGCTGTTAATTCCTAATGGAACAAGATTTGGATTCATAGGATGAAACCCAGCTCATTTTTATGAATGAATCACTTTCTGTGTATTAAGTCTCTTTATGTCTTCTCTTCCTTTGAAAGGTGTGCCACGTCATCACCGCGGTGAAATCTGGAAATTTCTAGCCGAGCAATTCCACCTTAAGCACCAGTTTCCCAGTAAACAGCAGCCAAAGGATGTGCTGTACAAAGAACTGTTAAAACAGCTGACCTCCCAGCAGCACGCGATTCTCATTGACCTTGGTGAGTCTGCACTATTGATCGGAGATGAAAATGGAAGTTTCATTTACTTGAAAAATCTGAAGAGACTGTCCAGGTTATTTAGTGATTTGCCTTTAGGTTTAGCCATCAGAATTTACTACTGAGGCTTTTAATTTAAAAAGCCCTAGGGTAATCACAAATGTCTTCTTGAAGTATATAAAAATCTCTCTATTTTCACAGGGCAGCTTGTTAACTCTGCTTGGCATGGAAGGGGGTGCTTATTAGGGCTGTGGTCATAACCGTGGTTCAGTTCAGTAATTCAAATATTGATAGGAGGCTTTTATAGTCGACTGAAGGAACATCCTGGAAAATATACAGATGTTCGGGACCGAGGCTTGGTTTAATTACAGGAGCCACTCCCTGGTCTCACTGCTTCAAAACAATTCATCACAATTGTAGAAAGCAGTTTGTGTGTGTGCCTCGAACAGTTTTATTTTGGAAACAGGGTGTACCTTGTCTCTTGAATAGTTTTAAAAAGACAAAGGTTAAAATGGTGTATCATATTTGTGTACTTTGCATCAGAGGATTTAAGCAGCCGCTGATGGAAAATATTTGGGGAAATAAAACAGTAAAAAAAAAATCAAAAATAATACAGCATTTTACAAAATAATTATAAAATATTCTCTGTGTGGTGGCTACTTATTTATAAAATTTTGTAATGGATATTTTGTGAATAACGGTATATTTAGCTACAGTTTCCCATTTTCTCTAGGTATAGTGACTTTATGGGCAATCTTTGGGACATCCTGTCTAACAACTATTATCATAGCATTTACATTCTATTAGGTAGTATAAGTAAATAAAAGATGATTTAAAATATGTTTTAAAATGTTCATAGATTGTATGCATATACTGTGCCATCTTAGGGAAAAGACTGACGCATCCCTGAATTTTGGTATTCATGGGGAGTCCTGGAACCAATCTCTCATGGATACCAAGGGACTACATTAGATGCACTTGTAGTTGCCACGGCAAAGAACTTGTTGAATTGGGGTACAGTTAAGATGTACAGAAGGTCAGTGGTGGTGCACCCCCTCTTGCCTGCCATCTCCCACCTAGGCTTCTGTTTCTGCTGGTGGGGATCTGGCTCCATGTGGTGGCAGGTCAGTCCTGCTGCTCTCAGGGCACATGGCCCTGCTTCTAGAAGCCCCGCTCTGCTCCTGCTGCAGGCTCCCCACAGCCATCAGTGCTGTGTGCCCTGCAGTGGCCTGGCTTGGCAGGAGCTCCTGCAGCCCAGCGGCTGTGATGGAGGGTGAGGCCTGAGCTGGATCAGGCAGTGTCCAGTCTTCTTCTCTCGGGCCACACAGCTGGCCTTCAGGGTTAATGTCATAAGCTTAAATGGCACCTCAAGAAATTGTACCTGACTGTGGCCTCCTCGTCCCACCAGACTGGGTTGGGCACCCCAGCTAAGCCTCTGCAGCACCCCACACTCTCCCCTCGTGACACGTATCATATTTATTATTACCACTGTCATCATTATCATTTAAAGCTAATACTTCTAGGTCCTTAATTAGACTTTCATTACCTGGCTCCTCCATAGGAAGCAGCCTCTGTGAGTAGGCTGGGGCTGTTTGCCATCATATTCTGGCTTCTAGGACAGTGATTGTCACGTAGCAGGTGCTCAGCGAGTCCTTTTGAGACACTGGCTATGAGGCATTATGCCAGCACTTCCATCTCACGGGACCCTCAACAGCCCTAGGAAGTTGGCCTGCACCCTCTTTAAGAAAGGAGGAAAATGAGGCACAAAGGGGTCATGTGTTAACCACAGTTACACAGTCAACTGCAAGGAGGTGCCAAGACCTGGACCCACTTTGTGCCCAGGAGCCCGAGTGCTGCTCAGGACATGGCTGGGACATGCCTTGGTAGGGCTGGAGCCCGCTGGTCCACTGACCTGAGGAAGCGGTTTTGTGAATTGGCACCAGCTGTGTTAGCTGATGTGATGAGTAACAGAAAAAATGACATCATGTTGCTATCACGTGAAATGAAGGGAAATATAAATTCGGACTGAAAGGCACTGAGTGCAGGCTGTTTCTCTCTGCGTGCTCGCACTCCTTGATCAGATGTCTCTTCCTGTCCCCCCATAGTCCCTCCTCCCTCCTCCTTCCTCCCTTCTCCCTCCTCCCTCCTCCCTCCCTCCTTCCTTCTCCCTTCCCCCTCCTCCCTTCTCAGGCAGGATCAGTACCTGCTTCCTGTTGCACACAGGCAGTCACTTTTCTGGAAAGGGGAAGGGGCCACCAGATCAGCTACAGAGCCTCGCCTCTGTGTGTGCCCAGCCAGGCCCTGGGCCTTCCCCATGGGCACTCCATCTGCAGGAGCCCAGACTTCCGCCCTTTCCCTCCGCAAGCAGGGCTGGCTGCACTCATCTCTGCCTGTCCCCATCTCGCTTCTGCGGCTCCTCCCTGACAGGCTCCCTCATTCCTTCCTTCTTTCCCAGTCCTGCTCTGGCCTCTGTCTTGGATGACCTCCAAATGCCCTCCTGAGGGCCTAAGGAACTCTCTTTGCAATAATGCATTTCCCAAGAGACCCTGCTGGGGTCAGCCTTCTTTCCCAACTAGAACTGGAGACCAAGAAGTTGGCCTGGACCTGGCAGTAGAGCCCTGGGGGCTCTGTGTCCCAGGTTTGTTGTGTGGTTGGGCTCTGGGAGGCCCCACTTAGAAGTCCCCCAGACCCCACCTGTTACCTCCCCCACACCTCTTACTGAGAGGCTGTGGCTTTGCTCCCCAGCTGTTTAGTCTACACTTTCTATTTAGTCTACGCCATGGCTACCTAGGGGCCCATATAGTACAGAGTAAATTCAAATCAGTATTTCTCTTTTTTTTTTTGCAGTTTTTTTTTTTTTTTTTTTTTTCTTTTTTTTTTTTTTTTTTTTTTTTGGCCAGGGCTGGGTTTGAACCCTTCACCTCCAGCATATGGGGCTGGCGCCCTACTCCTTTGAGCCACAGGCGCCACCCCAAATCAGTATTCCTTTTTTTTTTTTTTTGAGACAGAGCCTCAAGCTGTCCCCCTGGGTAGAGTGCCATGGCTTCACTGCTCACAGCAATCTCCAACTCCTGGGCTCAAGCGAGTCTCCTGCCTCAGCCTCCCAAGTAGCTGGGACCACAGGCGCCCACCACAACGCCCGGCTATTTTTTGGTTGCAGCCATTATTGTTGTTTGGCGGGCCCAGGCTGGGGATTCAAACCCTCCACCTTAGGTGTATGTGGCTGGCGCCTTAGCCACTTGAGCCACAGGCACCGAGCCTAAATCAGTATTTCTTAAAAAGTGACATCCACCTCCTGGCCAAAGGAACAGAACGGTCAATTGGATGTTGCAATGCTGGACAAAGTTGTCTGGGCTTCCTCAGCAAGGTTTCTCTGGAGGGTGCGCCTGTTCTTAGACAGCCATAACTGCACATAGCGATGTCCTGGTCATGTAACTGCCACTTGGCACTTTGCCACGATTGTCCCCATGGACAGGAATAGAAGCCCGTGGGACCTTCCACTTGTGCACAATTTCCATGCCTGCCCTTTGCTGCCGTGAGCAGAATAAGTGTGCCATACCTGCCCTCGGTTCCCGAGTCCCTCTTCAGCCTGTCTGAATTGGATCGTTTGCACAACAGGCATATTTTGAGTTTTTAATTTGTTTTTCTCCTAACTCTTGATTTATTTTCTGACATTGCCTTTTAGTCTAAGCAGTTTTTTAAATTTGTTTTGGGGGATGCTTTTGTGTCCAAAGAATAAGAATAATAGACCTTGTTAGGTAGTGTTTTATAGTTTGTAAAAAATTTTCTCCAACTCCATAAGATTTCATCTTTTCACAACCGTGTATGAAGTTGGGCACATGTAATTATTTCCAATTAGAGGTAATAACTGTGGCCCAGAGAGTGTAAGTGCTTTGCCCAAGTTACAAGGTGCTCAGTGGCAGGAAGAGTTCTGGAACCCCAGTCTCCTAGGTCTCCTGCCACGTCCCTTGTGGGACACCATATCATTGCTGTGTCTTTCTTGACTCTGCCCTCCCCATCCTAACACAACTTCCCCACCTGGAGTTCGGTGGAGTCATACTTCAGAGTGGATGACACCCAGCCAGGCGGACATTGTTGCTCTCAGGACTTACTGGATGGTACTTAGCAAATTATATTGAGGCCCCAGGCACCTGCCTAACCTTTACACCTGGTCCACCTACATCCATTTATCCAGACCTCAGAGAACTGCAACTTTTCTCCTCTCCATTCTCTGCCTCTCCATCCTGTGATGGACATTGTGGACTGCCCCACATTCTGCTTTCTGGCTGGGGCTCCTGCTGTGCTTCTGGCCACACGAGTGTCTGCCAGTGTCTCTGAGCAGCTAGCTGGAGGTCCCTTCTGGCTTCACTTCATTGCTGCTTCACTGATGTCCCAGCCTGGAACACCTAACAGTTAGCTGCCTCTAGCTGGTGAGACTATGCAGCCTCTCTCATGGTAAGAGGCATTTACCTGCAAGGTGCTTGAACAAATGTAGAGACCCAGGAGTGCCCATAGGTCAGAAGGCAAAAACTGGAAGTGGGTCTAATCTCTCCCATGTCAATTAGGTACAGTTTTATTAATCTGTGTATTCTAGGTCAATAACACAGTGGCATAGTTTGTATGCCCTGCAGGGGTCTGATGAATCTGTTGGTGATCAGAAGTGACATTTTCAGATGGGCTTCTCGGGACTCTCCATCAGTGAGACCAGACAGGTGCAGGCAGGCCTGCTACAGTGAGGGGCACAGCGTGTGTCCATGGTACACACATGGCAGGAAAGTACCACGGGGGCTGTTGTGCTGATTTTTTGCTTCCATTTACCAAAGATGTAAAAACTCGTATTGTCCAGAAGAAAAGAAACTATAATCCAAGTGTTACAGAAGAGAGTTTCCTCCTTGCTTTTTTAGAATCCATGAAAGATGAATAGAAAAGCCTCCAAAATGAAGGAATCAGCTAGGGGTATTTAAGAGGACTCAGAGGGCACAGGAGGGTGCTTTTCCTTGTCC